AAATGATTGCCCACCCCTGAGTTAGGAGCTGCTGTTGTGGGCTAGAGACGGCAGTGCGAGCAGGCTGAAAGCTGTGCCAATGCATCTGATTCCTGCGCCGCAGCATCCTCTGCCAGACTCGTCCCAGTTCCTCCCTGCGATGCAGGGCGCCCGACTGATTTTTGGGTTAGACAGAGCCAAGAGAGGGCTGCTATCCCAAACCGAGCCCTGAGGTGTCAGCCAGGACATGCGTGGCAGTGTCGCATACCCCTCACTGATGTGTGTTGCGCACGTGGTAGTGACAATGTACAGTATCTACGTGGCTGTTGGGGAGTTAACTGAACGATCAGGGTGTGACGGCGCGTTGGGGGTTCCCCGTCTCCTGCACCCCGAAATGGCACAAACAGACTGCACCAGCCAGTGGAATTGAGGGTGGTTTATTGCTCCTCCAGCACAGCGCAGCACAGATGTAATCTGGTCCCAGAGCTGGGCTAGGATGCCTCAGGCCCCCTTGAGATGGGGGAGACTGGGCCCCTAAACTCCAGCCCCTTCTCCTAGGCTCTCCTCCATGCCCTCCGACAGCCAGCAACCAACTCCCTCACTTCCAGCCCTGCCCCCCAGCCAAGGCAGCATTCCACCTTCCTTTGTTCCTCTCCATGGGGGGTGTCTGGCCACTGGTTTGCATAGTGACTCATCCTGTTTTGCTGGGTCGTGGTACCCACGGCAGCCAGTGGGGGTTCCCCCAGAGCCAGCAGCATAGAAACCAGCCAGGTACCCCCACTACGTCACACAGGGTCGTCCCACAGTTCTGGTCCCGATGACAGATCCCTCAATGCTGCAAAGCCAACGTCAGCTTGGCTTAGAAAGCAGGAACCTGGCCAAGCAGAGTGCTCCCGTCCCTGGTTCCACGGACTGCCAAGGAGCAGTCACGGTGCCGGGGTGCGGCGTTTGAAACGCCATGGGAAGCACAGGGCTAGGATCCCCAGACCGGTCCCTGCCGTGCGAGTCTCCAAAGCAGAGAGAGAAGGTGCAGCACCACCAGTCCAGACTGCCGGGCTGGATTGCAGTGATACAGAACGCTCTGAAACTTGCTGTAAAACTGTCTCTCAACGCAGCTAGTTTAAATGCATGGTTCCGAGGCGAACGTGCCCCGGATATTGGCTTCCCAGAAGGAGGGTCTTAGCCTTTTTTTATGGTGTTATTTTGTCTTTGGGCAATAAATTTGGTTCTGTTATTAGCACTGAAACGTTTTGAGAATGAACCATGAGTGTAGTTAATTGGCTGCACCTTTACTGAACAGCTGGAGAGGGACTGAAGTGACTGGTACATTAAGGCTTTTCACTTTCTTGCACCCATGGGAAAACAGACCAGACTTGCTGCTGCCTCCCCAGCTGAAAACAGCGAAGTTCAGCCTGGCGTGTTGCTGCCCTACCTGTCTGTGCAAGAGCCCTGAGCCGAGAGCTGTACCTCAAAGGCATCGCACCACTCGGGGTGCTATGGCAGCAAAGTGTCCTAGCCGATCTTAGACCATGCACAAGCCCTGCAACTTGCTTTCAGTCACCAGCTTTGGATGTGAGCGGCTCCCCTTCGGTGCCCAATGTAACTGCCCCTTGGGAGATTTGCCCCGTGCCAGAGGCCTGTCAGGGGATTGAGTTGTCACGGCCCTTGGACCGGCGCGTGCCAGCCGCTCTGTTGGCCGCTGCTTCCTGGGCCAGCGATTTAATAGCGCTTGGCTTCTCCTGCAAGGCAGGGCCGCAAGGCGCCTTCTGCACCAGGCGCTTGTTTGTAGTTCGGCAGAAGGGCACCAAAGTTCATCGTGGGCAGCAGTCATTTTCCTCCGGATGGGTCGGGATTTAGCGTATTAAGCTCAGCAGTGACTCCGGGTGGCTGCCCAAGGCGCTGTCTGCTCTGTTCACTTGGAGCGGGTTGGGGTGATTGGCAGGGGGAGGGTCTGGTGAGGAGCAGGGGCCCTGTAAAGCTGGAATCCAGATATGCACACGGTCTGGATTTATCACGTATAATCTCACCTTCTCTGACGGGCCTCTTAAATATTACTGCCTGCCTGCATCAGGGCAGAGCAGAAAAGAGGAGACTGAAGGGGGATAGGATAGAGGTCTGTAAAACCAGGACTGGTGTGGAGAAAGCGAGTAAGGAAGTGTTTACTTAGTCTCACAATATAAGAACTAGGGGTCACCAAATGAAATGAATGGGCAGCAGGTTTAAAACAAACCAAAGGAAGTTTTTCTTCACTCAGCGCACAGTCAACCTGTGGAACTCCTTGCCAAAGGAGGTTGTGAAGACCAGGACTTTACCAGGGGTACTGTTGTCAGTAGACATATGTTGGGTGCCTTCATTACTGGCTTAGAAGACCCGGGTGGGATTAGGTTTCTTAACATTCCAGGTTTTCGTTCATTTTTCATCTGCCCTCTGGCGGGATCGTGGAGAGACGTCCCTCTACCCTAGGAAAAGTGAACGAGGGGGGCTTGTCACAAGTGCAGTGACATGAGCGCCTTCAGATTAACTCCAGTCCCCTGTGCCATCAGGACAGTCTCAGCCTGTGCAGCTGTCAGAGTTGCCGGGGTGACTCTCCTTGCATGAGACCACAAATACTGGGGAAGTGCTGGTAGGTCTTGTGTTAAGTCCCAGTGCCATTCAGGCATAGGGGCGGGCCAGGGCCCTTTCCCAGACCCAGAGGAGTAAGACTCCAGGGTTCGGATGGCTCTTCGGTCGCTGTTGGTCCCCACCAGGCACAGCGGTGTCGACCGCTGCTGCTCCAAGAGGCACGAGGCACTCTTGCCAGCGGGTGCCCAGCCGGCAGTGCTGTTCCCCCGCCACACCAACACCGCTGCCAGGGACAACACCATCAACCTGATCCACACGTTCCGGGACTACCTGCACTATCACATCAAATGCTCCAAGGTACCTGGGGCGGGGGGGTTGTGCCACGCTGCGTTCCGAGTGGGGCCGGGGCAGCTCCCGAGGAGGGCTTTCCACGCAGCGTTCATCCCAGCCTCTGGGTCCTGTGCTGCCGGTGCTGCAGGCCTGCCAGGCACCTTTTATACCCTGCCCGCTGCCTTGGTTCTGGCCCCTCGTACCAGAGAGTGCAGGCTAGCAGCAGCGTACCATTTCTTCAGGGCCTCTGTGTAAGCCCAGCTGCCCTCTTGGGGCGTCCCCCTGCTGACCACAAGCACTGCCCAGCCCTAGAAGCAGGGCGCCTGGCCCGGAAGAGGGTCTCGGTCCCAGGTGGGCTGCAGGCCGTGTGCTGCTAGCAGTCTCGCTCCAACCCCTTGCCAGCCCGAGGGCTTTCCGAGCCGAGTCCTGCCAAGGGGATCTCCACACCAAAGCCCCAGGCCAGGCCCTTCAGCCGTGTCTGTTTTGACTGCCACGCAGGCCTATATTCACACGCGGATGCGGGCAAAAACGTCGGATTTCCTCAAGGTGCTGAAGAGAAGAAGGAAATGAAAACAATCACGTGAGTACCACAGCTGGGACCCTGGGGCCTGTGAGGCTCATCCGCGAGGGCCATGCCGTGCCGCTGTCCCCGTCAACGTGCATGCGGAGGGGGCGGAGCTTTTCAGTAGTGGGGCGTGGTGAGTGCACACGGAAAGACCAGGCAGGGTGGGCGTTTCTGTCTTGAGCCCCAGGCAGCCCTGGGAAGAGAGCAGTCGGCCAGTGAGTACCACAGCTGGGACCCTGGGGCCTGTGAGGCTCATCCGCGAGGGCCATGCCGTGCCGCTGTCCCCGTCAACGTGCATGCGGAGGGGGCGGAGCTTTTCAGTAGTGGGGCGTGGTGAGTGCACACGGAAAGACCAGGCAGGGTGGGCGTTTCTGTCTTGAGCCCCAGGCAGCCCTGGGAAGAGAGCAGTCGGCCAGAGAACCGTATGCTGTTCTTGGTTCAATAACCAGGCGTGGTAGTGGAAAGGCTTCTGCTGTCTCACGCCTCCTGGCTAATCGGCTCGTTTGCAAGGGGCGTGCTGCCTTCCCAAGAGGGCGTTTTCTCCCGTCTGAGAGGGGTAGCGCTGGGTTGGTGGAAGGCAGGAGGCTGAGAGGCATGGAAGCATTCGGGGGCCTGCGTCCATAGCACCGTTTGTACGGACGGCATTGCTGAGGTGCGCAGAGCAAAGCGCTCGAGGGCCGGGCTCGCACGGCTCTGCTGGCTGAGGCTTTGCCCCGGCTAGTCGGAGTACGCACTGGAGGGCCTGCCCTTCGCAGAGTTGATGCTGCAGTTGATTCTCCACATTGTACCTAGAAGACTTAAAAACGTGTTCAATTAAACCAGGGTTTCCCAACCTACGGGTCAGGACCCAAACATGGGTCGCCGTGACCTTTTGAAAGGGCCACCAGGTGGCTCTTAAGGAGCCATTCACACACTTTTTGGATTGCCCTGGGTCCCCAAGTCTTCCAGAATTGTCAGAATGGGTCCCCCTCTGGAAAAGGCTGGGAACCGCCGGATTAAACACAGTCCCTCCACGCGTCACATTGTGAGGCCGAACTAGACTTTGTGAAGAAAGGCTGCTGGGTCGTCCCGGCAGAAGAGCAGCTTGGCGAATGCTGTCGGGTGAGCTTGGAACGTCCTGCCTTGCTCGACAGTCTCACGTTTTGGCAACTCCCTTCCGCGTCGGTAGAGTTCCTCCGTGGCCCACGCCCCTGTGGTACAGCGGCACGGACTGGGCTGGTGCACAGTTTATAAACCTGGTGCAAGTGTTCATGGGAAAGCTTGTCCCAGGCTAAGACCCAGCTACCCTAAATGAGACGGCCAGCTAATGAACGAAGCTCACCTTGAAATCCCCACACAACCTCAAATCAAATCCCAGAGCGGCAAACTTTGTCCTTCATGCCTGCATTTAAAAAGCAGACTCGCTTTCCGGTGGCGAGAGCCTTCCCTCCCAGCAGGCACGTGGGAGAGGGGATGTGGCCTGGGAACCCAGGGTGGGTTTCACTTGCACTGTGGTCTTGGGCAAACGAAGTTACTGCTTTGCCTCTGTTTCCGTTTCATGGGGGTAGTGCCAATAGCTTCCGCCATCCAGGGAGCTGGAGGATCTCTGGAAAAGACTCAATAGAAAGTCTATAAAATCATGACTGATGTGGAGAAAGTGACTAAAGAAGAGTTATTTACTTCTTCCCATTACTCAAGAACTAGGGCTCAGCAAATGAAATGAACAGGCAGCAGGTTTAAAACAAACCCAAGGCAGTTTTTCTTCATGCAGCGCACAATCAACCTGTGGAACTCCTCGCCAGAGGATGTTGTGAAGGCCAGGACTTTAACAGGGTTCAAAAAGAGCTAGATAAATCCATGGAGGTTAGGTCCATCAGTGGCTGTTAGAGATGGTGTCCCTGGCCTCTGTTTACCAGGGGCTGGGAATCGGTGACGGGAGGGATCACATAATGATTCCCTGATGTGATCCCTCCCCCTGGGGCACCTGGCCTTGGCCACTGTCGGCAGACTAATGGATTAGATGGACCTTTGGTCTGACCCAGTGTGGCTGCTCTTCTGTTAAAGCGCTGTGAACGCATCACGTGAAACCTCCGCTGCGCTGTGAGCGAGAGAGACTCCCAGGCAGTCACACCCAGTGGCTGCTTCTCCCGCGTATGGGGCGATCACTAAAGGTGATTCCGTCTTTCTGACGAGGGGCTGGAGCATCAGGGCGTCTCTTGTAAGGGGGCTGCTGTCGCAGTGGGGCGCGGCTGTTCCCTGGCTAACCCCGAGACCTCTGGGTGGGGGGTTCATCCCTGGGAGGTGGGACAGGCTGGCCTGCCTCCAGGTCGGTCAAAGCTCCCTGCAGCTGCTCTGCACGTGACTCCCACACAACCGCCCGCCTTCAAGGGAGGGGAGGGCTTCTCTCCCACGCCTGGCTAGCCCAGATGATGGGGAAAGGCTCAGCTGTTTGTCTGCCTCCCTGAGGAGCCTTTGCCTGGGCTGACCTGGGTACCTGCCCTAAAGGGATTGGTTGCCCCTGCCTCCAGCTGGAGCGGCTTCCTCCCTACGCGCGTTCAGGGGGCGCAGCTGGGACCCTGGGGCCTGTGAGGCTCATCCGCGAGGGCCATGCCGTGCCGCTGTCCCCGTCAACGTGCATGCGGAGGGGGCGGAGCTTTTCAGTAGTGGGGCGTGGTGAGTGCACACGGAAAGACCAGGCAGGGTGGGCGTTTCTGTCTTGAGCCCCAGGCAGCCCTGGGAAGAGAGCAGTCGGCCAGAGAACCGTATGCTGTTCTTGGTTCAATAACCAGGCGTGGTAGTGGAAAGGCTTCTGCTGTCTCACGCCTCCTGGCTAATCGGCTCGTTTGCAAGGGGCGTGCTGCCTTCCCAAGAGGGCGTTTTCTCCCGTCTGAGAGGGGTAGCGCTGGGTTGGTGGAAGGCAGGAGGCTGAGAGGCATGGAAGCATTCGGGGGCCTGCGTCCATAGCACCGTTTGTACGGACGGCATTGCTGAGGTGCGCAGAGCAAAGCGCTCGAGGGCCGGGCTCGCACGGCTCTGCTGGCTGAGGCTTTGCCCCGGCTAGTCGGAGTACGCACTGGAGGGCCTGCCCTTCGCAGAGTTGATGCTGCAGTTGATTCTCCACATTGTACCTAGAAGACTTAAAAACGTGTTCAATTAAACCAGGGTTTCCCAACCTACGGGTCAGGACCCAAACATGGGTCGCCGTGACCTTTTGAAAGGGCCACCAGGTGGCTCTTAAGGAGCCATTCACACACTTTTTGGATTGCCCTGGGTCCCCAAGTCTTCCAGAATTGTCAGAATGGGTCCCCCTCTGGAAAAGGCTGGGAACCGCCGGATTAAACACAGTCCCTCCACGCGTCACATTGTGAGGCCGAACTAGACTTTGTGAAGAAAGGCTGCTGGGTCGTCCCGGCAGAAGAGCAGCTTGGCGAATGCTGTCGGGTGAGCTTGGAACGTCCTGCCTTGCTCGACAGTCTCACGTTTTGGCAACTCCCTTCCGCGTCGGTAGAGTTCCTCCGTGGCCCACGCCCGTGTGGTACAGCGGCACGGACTGGGCTGGTGCACAGTTTATAAACCTGGTGCAAGTGTTCATGGGAAAGCTTGTCCCAGGCTAAGACCCAGCTACCCTAAATGAGACGGCCAGCTAATGAACGAAGCTCACCTTGAAATCCCCACACAACCTCAAATCAAATCCCAGAGCGGCAAACTTTGTCCTTCATGCCTGCATTTAAAAAGCAGACTCGCTTTCCGGTGGCGAGAGCCTTCCCTCCCAGCAGGCACGTGGGAGAGGGGATGTGGCCTGGGAACCCAGGGTGGGTTTCACTTGCACTGTGGTCTTGGGCAAACGAAGTTACTGCTTTGCCTCTGTTTCCGTTTCATGGGGGTAGTGCCAATAGCTTCCGCCATCCAGGGAGCTGGAGGATCTCTGGAAAAGACTCAATAGAAAGTCTATAAAATCATGACTGATGTGGAGAAAGTGACTAAAGAAGAGTTATTTACTTCTTCCCATTACTCAAGAACTAGGGCTCAGCAAATGAAATGAACAGGCAGCAGGTTTAAAACAAACCCAAGGCAGTTTTTCTTCATGCAGCGCACAATCAACCTGTGGAACTCCTCGCCAGAGGATGTTGTGAAGGCCAGGACTTTAACAGGGTTCAAAAAGAGCTAGATAAATCCATGGAGGTTAGGTCCATCAGTGGCTGTTAGAGATGGTGTCCCTGGCCTCTGTTTACCAGGGGCTGGGAATCGGTGACGGGAGGGATCACATAATGATTCCCTGATGTGATCCCTCCCCCTGGGGCACCTGGCCTTGGCCACTGTCGGCAGACTAATGGATTAGATGGACCTTTGGTCTGACCCAGTGTGGCTGCTCTTCTGTTAAAGCGCTGTGAACGCATCACGTGAAACCTCCGCTGCGCTGTGAGCGAGAGAGACTCCCAGGCAGTCACACCCAGTGGCTGCTTCTCCCGCGTATGGGGCGATCACTAAAGGTGATTCCGTCTTTCTGACGAGGGGCTGGAGCATCAGGGCGTCTCTTGTAAGGGGGCTGCTGTCGCAGTGGGGCGCGGCTGTTCCCTGGCTAACCCCGAGACCTCTGGGTGGGGGGTTCATCCCTGGGAGGTGGGACAGGCTGGCCTGCCTCCAGGTCGGTCAAAGCTCCCTGCAGCTGCTCTGCACGTGACTCCCACACAACCGCCCGCCTTCAAGGGAGGGGAGGGCTTCTCTCCCACGCCTGGCTAGCCCAGATGATGGGGAAAGGCTCAGCTGTTTGTCTGCCTCCCTGAGGAGCCTTTGCCTGGGCTGACCTGGGTACCTGCCCTAAAGGGATTGGTTGCCCCTGCCTCCAGCTGGAGCGGCTTCCTGCCTGGGCGGTTTGCTGGGGAGCTGGGCCCTGTGCCATGGGCATGTGCCGGCTGAGGTCTCCCCGCTGGGGGGTTGTACTCGTTGGGTCTGCAGGGAAGGGACGGAAGCGCTTCTGTGACAGTGTCTTGCAGGGGTTTTGTGCTCATCAGAAAGCTTGGCCCTCGCAGGCCTGGAGTTCAGACCTCTTCCTGGCCACCGCGCGCAGTGACGGTTTAAACGCCGCTTTGGGGCCCGAAGGAGGAGGAGCCGGGACGTCTCGGCCGTTTCCAGGCGTGTCCAAACCGTTAGACTGCAGGATAGCGGGTGGGTGGACAGGCCAGGTCTGGACTCAGGCCGTTGGGGGGCCTGGAGTAACCACACGGTGGTTGACGAGGCCCCCGCGGGGCGGGCATGGGGGCCGAGAGGGCTGCGGAGGCTTGGATCCAAGAACACAGCCCTGATGGGGGGCTGGGTCACGACCTCGTCCCCCCTCGTGTATTCGGCCGTGCTGTTCGCTTATCCCCCCTCGCTTCTTCAGGCAGTTCGCTGGCGACTCCCTGCAGCAGGCGGAGTCCCGCCCAGGAGTCCCGGTCCAGAGGCAAAGGCTGGCAGGCAGAGCAGTTGAGGCCGAGAGATGACAGAGCAGCTAGGTACAGAAGAAAGGCAGCTGGAGTCAGTCCTCGCGAGGGCTAGGCAGGAAAGCAGGGGGCTGGACGTGGCCAGGACCACGCTGCCTGTGGTCTCCGTCGGGCGTTCGAATGCTACTTGCTTACCTAGCAGGGTGACTGTCCAGGAGCTGACTAGTCACTGGCACGAGCAGTGTCTGATGCCCGCTGTCGCGGCCTCTCTCCTCGCCCCGCAGAAGCAAAGCCCTGGGTTGCTCGGGTTACACGCGGTGCCACCGGAGACCCGGCCCTACGGCTCGTTCTGCTGTGGTGAGCTTCGGGACCAGCTCCCGCCGGCAGACGGAGCGTGGCCGGGTGTACCGGGCAGCGCGGAAATAGCCTTTCGTGGCTGGGAGGGGTGAGGTCCCGGGCGGGGACCCTCGGCCTTCTCCAGGCTCCCTGAGCGCGCCCGTGGCTGGGGGAAGGAGCCGGGCTTCTCCCATCTCGGTGACAGTGCTGGCTGTGAACCCTGCTTGAGAAGGCAGGTTACAAGCATCTCTGGGGCTGGAAGGAAGGAAGGGCATGAGGACGGGGCGGGGGTTCATCGCCCTGACTGCCTAACCCCGTTTGCATGGTGCCCTTGGCTCCGCCTGGGCAGGGAAAGCAGGCGTGTCCGTCGGCGCTCGCAGGGAGCGCGCGGAGCCCTCTGGAGCGTGCGTCCGCCGTGCCGCAGAGCTCCCAAAGCAGACGTTGGCGCCCGGGCAGCAAGGGGAGGCCCTGCAGCAGCAGGTTGTCCTGGCTAGAGGAGGGATACCTGGGGGTCTTGCCATAGAAACGCGCAGGTTCGTGTGGGGAACGGCCAACCTCTGGGGAGGAGCCGGAGAACCTACATCCTGGAGGGACGCCAGGGGAGACCCCACAGGCTTCCAAGTCCCCCCCACGCTCTGTCAGTGCGGCCAGGCTCCTTTTTAACCCAAGCGATTACCCCCTGCTGTTGAGGGGCAGCCTTCTCTTTCTGGCCGCGGGCCCCCCGGCCTTAGGGAGCTGCCGAGGGTCCCTCCCGTGGGCTGCAGTGTCAGGCGGATTCACGTGGCGTTAACAGTGTGAGCCGGGGAATGCCAGCTGCCGGGGGGTAAATGCTGTACCGTTCTCTCCTCGCACCACGGGCTGCCTGGGGAGGCAGGGGCGGAGCTGCCTGGTCCCCCTCGCTGTGGGCGCTCGCTGCGGTCGCTCTCCAGAAGGCGGTCGGCCCGTTTCTGGGGGCGTCGGGGGCTTGGCGAGTGGTTCTGCTCACGTCTGCCAGTGCATCGACGCCCCCAGGGAGCGTCCCACCACTGCGTACGCCCAGGCTCTGGCCTAAGGCCCTTGCCTTCCCCATGGCTTGAACCTTGAGTCCCAGGACTCCGCGGGGCTGGCAGGTCTGAGCTTGTGGGACCCGGGGACTTGGGGTCCGAGCCCTGTTGCTTTGCTGTGTGCACAGGGCCCCTCCGTGGCTTGGGTCTGGAATTCCTCCCGCTGTGTCCGAGTTCCTTGTGGCGCTTTGTGCAGAGAGCTGCGTCCAGGCCACCGGAGCAGAGCCAGATTGGGGGGACACGCTGCCCGGCGCCCCACGCACCCAGCCCCAAGCGGGGAGAGGGGACCCAGAGCAGGGACAAAGCCACCGCGCTGCATGGAAGGGGAGCGGCAGAGCTCGCGGCTCCGCA